TCCTGCAAGGCATGGGCTACAGTAAGTACACCTCCACCCATCCCGGGCAAGGGACTGGGACACAGTGCCCATGTGCTGGGGAGTCTGTGGTTCAGTGTACTCTGTCACCTGGACCCCAAAGGCTGGGCTACTCTCCCCAGACTCTGCATATAAGAGTGTGTGTCCCAGGCCCAGCCAGCTTCTCTGCTTGGGTAGAGCCTTAGGCATTCTTCTGAGTCCCGTGTCAAGGCCCGTTTGGGAGAGGGCTCTTCTTCCAGCCCCTGAGAGTCCAGCACCTAGGCTGGGTGCTGTTAGAAAAGCCTGTTTTAGATGAGTCACCCACACCCTATTGGGATTAGGACACCTCAAAAGGCTCTTTGTCACAGAAGGAGGGTTAGCACCCAGGTGCATGGAATCTGGGACTGGAGAACAGAAGTGGAAACATGTCCAAACCTGTGGAAAGTAAGCCTGAGGACCAACTGAGATCAAGGGCTCTAAACCAGCTCTCTTGTCCCCTTCCCGAAACATCCCCTCATGTAACAGCGATGAGACCCAGGCTGCACCCATGAGCACCCAACACACATACACACACACATACACACACACACCACACACACACACACACACACACACACCACACACACACACACATACACCACACACACACACACACACAAACCACACACACACCACACACACACACACACACACACACACCCCACACACACAGAGAGAAAGAGAGAAAGAGAGAGAGAGAGAGAGAATATGAGTTGTTCTGACAGCTCCTGTGTGCCTCCAGGACCTCTGGTCCCCTCTTAACAACACGCAACTGCTGGGTGAATCGCTCTCCCTCAATCTGGTGCCCTCCACCAAAGACTTCAGCCTCTGGAGCCTATACCTCCTTGGGACAGAAACAGGATAGCTCTCCACCCTGCCAGCCCCATGGGTGAAATAGCAGAAAAAGGGCACAGGCTGACAGGGAGGACTAGCCAGAATTCTAATCTAGGCCCCATGCACTCTTGGAGCTTGGCAGACATCTGCAAGGCCAAGAAGGAGCGACACTTGCAGACACTAGAGTGCGTCTCTGGGCTTCCCGGGAGTCGGAGGGACTTTGGAAGATTGTACAACCTCCTCCCCTTTCTGTACAAGATTGAGTTCTGGTAGAGCGGTGAGGGCACTAGGTCTAGGGTGTGGCCCACGGAGGCTTAAATCACAGCCTGGGCTGGAGAAGAGGGAGACCCGAGAATCCTGAGCCTGCTGTGTGGCTTCCACGAGCGGCCGTTTGAATGGGCTCAGCCCTGCCCTGTCTGTGTGTCTCATCTTGGCCCATCTTGATGCCCTTGGGCTGGCCCAATCTTCACCATGTTCTGTGTCTCCCCTACCCTTGCCCTCTCTGGCTGTCTTCTCTCTTAGTTGCACACTTGAAGGACCGAAGGCTGAGTGGAGGAGCAGGTAGCCCATGGCCCCTCTCCTGCTGCATGGACACCCTGCCTAGTCCCCCCTCCCCCGCTCCACTGCGATGCTGCAGCCACACTGTGTCTTGCCGTGGTTTTGGAATCTTCTTGTGTCCTGCTCAGTTCAAAGCCCCAGTGGATCAATCCCCTGCTCCTCTGCGGACCCTGGTCTGCAGAGAGCACCGTCCCGTATGGGAACCTGACGTTGGCTGATCTCGGAGCAGTTGTCTTGTTTCTAGGTTGCCATGGGCTGTGGGGCTTCCAACACTTTGGGAGTTAGAAACAGAAGTTCAGACACAGCCCTAGGCCTTTGCGGGTGTCATGCCTGTCCCTGGCCCAGCCCCTAGGTGGACTGGCCTAATAGCAGAAGCAAGATTCAGGGCTTGTGGCTGTGTTCTTCACAGAAGCAGTCCTGCCTCCTACCCTGTCACTCTCTGGATAAAGGTCTAGTTGGCCGCACAGTGCCTTCCTACCCAGCCCGAAGTGCCTAATCAACACCTGCCCTACCCTTCTGTAGCTCTGGGTAGCTGTTGGGACCTAGGACCCTGCTGGCTGCAGCCCCATCTGACCTGCTCACTGTTGCTGGCTCTGCATGCCTGATGGAGCCAGTGCCAGCACTGCGGCTTGGGCTGGGCCTCTGTGTTATGGCAGGACTGGGTCTCCCTGGCCGCTTTGCTTGCCTTGCCCTTTTCTTGCCGCTGGTACCCACCCTGCCTGTCCTCAGGACCCTTTGTTTTTGTCCACAGTGCCCTCAGCCAGCATGACCCGTCTTGCGCGCTCACGCACCGCATCCCTCACCAGCGCCAGCTCTGTGGATGGCAGCCGCCCACAGCCCTGCGCCCACTCAGAGAGCAGTGAGGCGATGGGCCAGGTCAACCACACCATGGAGGTATCCTGCTGAAGTCCTCGTCCTGCCCAAGACGCCTGCTTTCCTGCCCCCCGGTCCCACTGCCATCTCTGCACCGGCTCATCTTCCATTTAGTTTATTTTTGTGAGAGCGAAGGGGAGGAAATGGGGTTACTTCTCTTTTACTTAAAAAAAGTGAGGGGATCCACCTTAGACAGTGCAGCAGGACAGTCTTCGACGGTGTGAGGGGCTGGCCGGATCCACTCCCATTTCTCTCACCATGTTCACTGGTTGATATGGCTCCTGTCACCCACTTACCATGGCCCTGGGGTGGGGGCAGAATATGGGATACAGTACTGAAGAAAGAATATGGCCCACCCCCTGGGCCTGGCAGATGTGAAGACAGCGTGGGACTTGAAGATGGTGGGTGATGAGCTCAGGCTCTGATGTGAGTGGGTGTCAGACCAATGGAGAATCCTAACCCTCAGGGGGTCCCTTTCCTATAACCCTTGCAGCCAGCACACTTAGTCTGATAGTACAGGTGACAGTCGTGAGGATGGAAGCCACAAGAGGGCGCTCTAAGCAGACAGCCATTTTCCTGGTGCTCTCTGGGCAGGATAGCTATGGAGACAGAATATGGAGAACCCTGAGGGCAGGAACCCCCATACTCTGTCACTCCAGGGCCAGGTCCCACCCTGAGGCAAAGGTCAAGATTGCTTTGTGTGCTGTGTGTAGCCCCTGAGAACTTCATGGTGATCCCTTGGGAGCCCGAAGGTACTTGAGTCCATAAAGATTGCTCTTGTCCTCAGATTCAACCAAGAGTGTTTGTAGCAATGCCCTGGTCAACTTGGGCCAGTGTGTCACAGACATCACTGGAGAAGTGAACTCGTTAGATCTGGTCCAAGACTGAAAGATCCCACGACCTCTGCCTGCTGGAGGGGCTGGAGCGTGCTTGGTCCTGGGGTGGGAGATGGGTGGGGTTTTGAGGTGAACACAGGTGTAGAGGCCTAAGGCTCTTGATGCACCCTCGCCTCCCAGAGCCCACAGCTACGCTGTCTTCCTGTCCACTATCTTACCAGGTAGATTCACAGCCCAGAAACCAGAGCTTCAGCCTGGTCACTGGTTTCATCCACTGCAACCCCCAAACGGGGGAGAGAAAGAGGAGCTGTGTGTGTATGGGGGGGGGGAGTTGTCGTGTGGGCGTTCTGAAGTAAGGACACCTACATCCAGGTATCTGTGGCACAGGCCACCCCCTTCTGTAACTGTAAGCCATTTCTAGACTGCTCTCAAGTCCAGTGGAGTGTGTTCTGTCCCCGGTTGTGTTCACTCCTGTGCTCCCGTGAGTGTTGAATGTGATTGTAAAGCTGGTAGAATTCAAATCCCTTACTGTAGGCAGCACTTCAAGTATTGGACATCTCTCTGCTGTGTCCTCAAGGTATCTATAAATATCTATACATTATATATATATGTATGTGTGTGTGTGTATATATATATCAGGCCCTCCTGTGTCTGGTTTCCCAATTGGTGATTGTCTCCTTTTTGGTCAAGATGAACTTTTATTGGAGTTCATTACTTTCTTCTCTGTACAAAGTTAAGAGCCTAATTTTGTGTATTCTGGTGGCTGATCAGCGATTTTGAGATGACAAAATGTAAAACAACAACAACAAAAAACCCTCGATGTAGAAAATTAACTGTGCAGAAAAACTAATAAATAAGTTAATCATATGAATGGTGTTTCCTGTCACGTGGAAGGCTGGAACTGTTTGGCTGCCTAGCTGCCTTGGGCTCAGGTGGGTGGAGGGTAGCTATGGTTTCTGTCTACCTTCAGTGCCTGTTAACACACATTTTGGGCGGAGTGAGAGTTGCACGGTCTCAGTCTGCTGCCCAGGCTGGTCTTGACTCACAGAAGTCCTGCTTAAGCTTCCTAGGTGTTAGGCCACCCTGCCAAGCTTTTGTTTTCCCTATCATGGTGATGGGAATTGAACCACGGTGGTCACACATGGCAAGGTTCTATCATGAGGCTATATACCCTGATTGAGACATGATTTTACTGATCCTGACACTAGTTTTTCAGGGTCACAGCTGAACAAAGAGTTTAGGCAGGAAAACCTCTTCAGAGCAACGGCACACCACTCTTTTGCTTGGCTTTTATTGCTTTTGAGACACAGTCTCTAGCCTAGGCTGGACAGGGACCCATCTCAGCATCCTAAGTACTGGAATTACATTGCCAACTTCTCCATGTCTAATCATTTGTTCCATTGTTCATTCACCTGATATTGACTCCTTCCAATGTATCAGTTGTTTTTAAAAAAGCAAGTAAAATTAAAGAGCCTATCATTTCTATGCAGAAGATGAAAAACGAGTAAGTTAGCAACTGCGGATGTGTGTGTGTGTGTGTGTGTGTGTGTGTGTATTAGATGTAGAAAACCTTCAGGCCCCTTCAAACCCACGTGCAAACTGTAATCGACACAAGTCAGTGAAATAGTTGGCTATAGCTAACCAGTGGTCGGTCACTACCGCGCAGTAGCCAAGACCCCAGGAAGAAACCGGATTTTGTTTCTGCACTCTGCTGTCGGGAACGCGCCCAGAACTAGGGTGGAGGCAGCACAGAGCTCGCCCGTGTGCTCGCGGACGCGCAGCTCCTAAACCAGCAGCGCCGGCGCCGGAACCCGAGCCCCGCCCCATCCGCTCGCGTATAGCGTCACCGGAAGCGCAGGGAGGACGCGGCCCCTCCCGGTATGGCGGCTCCGGCTAAGCGCGCGCGGGCGAGGTCGCCAGTCACCGCTGCCTCCCCGGTCCTGAGAGCCGCCCCCGCGCCCCTGCCGCTCCCGAATCCCGGGCGCGGCCACGTCACTTGCTTCTCCCCGCTGGCGGCGGGACCCAGCGGGGGCGAGCCCGACGGCGATGCGGTGGCCGGCTTCCTGCGCTGGTGCGCGGGAGTGGGGCTGGAGCTGAGTCCCAAGGTGGCGGTGAGCCGGCAGGGCACTGTGGCCGGCTATGGCATGGTGGCGCGGGAGAGTGTGCAGCCGGGGGAGCTGCTGTTCGCAGTGCCGCGTTCGGTGCTTCTGTCTCCCCACACCTGTTCCATCAGCGGCCTGCTGGAGCGAGGTGGGTAAGGGGCAGAGGGTTGGTTCCGAGGCTGGCGGCGGTGTCGCGCCGGGGCGGGCGTTCACCTGGCGTCTTCCCTAGAGCGAGACACGCTGCAGAGCCTGTCGGGATGGGTGCCGCTGCTACTGGCGCTGCTCCACGAGCTGCAAGCCCCAGCCTCACCCTGGATCCCCTACTTCGCGCTCTGGCCAGAGCTGGGGCGTTTGGAGCATCCCATGTTTTGGTGAGAGTCAAGGGAAGGGCTGGGGAGAACCTGTTTCAGCCATTTTGCTCAGGGCACTGGATACCTGCAGCATCAGAGTGGCAGGTTGTAAAGGGCCCTGGGTGGGTTGTCCTTGCAGGCCAGAGGAGGAGCGGCTGCGCCTCCTAAAGGGTACAGGTGTCCCGGAGGCCGTGGAGAAGGACTTGGTGAACATCCGCAGTGAATACCATTCTATCGTCCTGCCCTTCATGGAGGCTCACTCCGATTTCTTCAGCCCCACTGTTCGCTCTCTGGATCTCTATCGCCAGCTTGTGGCCCTTGTAATGGCTTATAGGTTAGTGCTTAAAGCCTAGAGCAGACCCTCGCCTTTAGAACCATTACTGCGGGAGAAGGTGGGAAAGAACAGTGAGTGATCCAGGTTCCTCACCCAAGACCGTGCCTTAGCTGAGTTCTCTCTGCGGCAGCTTCCAAGAACCGCTGGAGGAAGAGGATGATGAAAAGGAGCCCAACTCCCCCTTGATGGTGCCTGCTGCAGACATACTAAACCATATAGCCAGCCACAATGCCAATCTAGAGTACTCTGCAGTGAGTGAACCCCTTGGCCTGGTTATATGCATTGAGTCAAATCATTGGGCTCCATTTTCCTACTATCGTGAAAATGAGTAGATGAGGTTAGCTACTCTCCTGTGTACTTTTGGTATCTAGTTACAGTAAAATGGTGCGGGGACACCTTAAGGCCACCAAAAAACTGCCCGCTCTGCCATGTCACCTCAGGCCCCATAGTGAGCATCGTGGAACAGCAGTAATTCAGTACTTTTCAAGAGGTGGAATGTTCATGGCCAGAGGAAGCCCCCACTGTTGATTCTGCATGTAACATTTTAAGACACACGTGTATGTGACAAGCAATTAGCAAATGGTTTGAGCCTGGTGGCTTAACACCGATAATCTTGTACGGCTGAGGCAGGATTGAAGGCTCTGGGCCCACGTTAACTCCAGACATCTGGTTTATACTTTAAGACCTTGTTGGCATATGTGACTTTCACTTATTCCTACTATTCTGACATGAAGTTTAACTTCTTTTTCACTGTGTAGCCCTGGCTATCAGAAACTCAAGAGATTACTTGGTAAGCACTGGGTGTGCATCACCAGGCCTGACCTTAACATTTTTTTTTTAAAGGTAGTGACCTTTAAGTGTAGATAACTACTCAAGAGATGCACCTGGTACGTGAAGCTAACCTGTAACATTGGTTTCACCTCCTTCTATAATGGAGGGTTTAACAGTAGATGATGGTACGCAGTCTCAGCCCAGTCAAACAGGCTCTCTTCATAGGCTGGTGGGGGCTAAGGTGTGGCCCCAGCTTTTCCCTTTTATCCCAGGATTATCTCCGGATGGTAGCTACTCAGCCCATTCCGAAGGGTCATGAGATTTTCAACACATATGGGCAGATGGCTAATTGGCAACTGATTCATATGTATGGCTTTGCTGAGCCCTACCCCGACAACACAGATGACACCGCTGACATTCAGATGGTGACAGTCCGAGACGCTGCTCTGCAGGGTGCGTCTGCCCGCCCCAGGTTCCACTGATGCCTTTGCTGACAGCATTTGGTTCGCTGGAGTTATTTCCTCCCGTTTTCATCCATTACTTCACAGGAGCAAAGGATGAAGCTGAAAGGCAGCTCTTGTGTGAACGCTGGGATTTCCTGTGCACACTGGAGATGGTAGGGGAAGAGGGAGCCTTTGTGATTGGTCGTGAGGAGGTGTTGACTGAAGAGGAACTAGCCACCACACTCAAGGTATAGGCTGACAGTTATGGGGTGCTGGTATTTAGAAAAGCCAAACTCAAGACCAAAGGACTCGATTTTCCTCCAGTGATTTATCTGTCGAAGCCCCCAGAATGTAGCACATCCTAACTAAGGGCCCACATTCCCTCCAGGTGCTGTGCATGCCTGCCGAGGAGTTCCAAGGCTATAAAGTCCAGGCTGGACGGGGAGAGCAAGAAAGGGAAGAGGACGGTTTGAAAATCACAAACATCCCCAAGCTCCAAGTAGCATGGAGACGGCTTCTTCGAGACAGTGTTCTGTTGACTCTACAGACCTATGCCACAGACTTAAAAACTGATCAAGATTTACTTAGTAATAAGGAGGTCTACGCCAAGCTCAGCTGGCGGGAACAGCAAGCCTTACAAGTCCGCTATGGTCAAAAGATGATCTTACACCAGTTGTTGGAACTCACAAATGAGCAGCTTCCCTGAATGACCAGCAGTGAGAACCTTTTAAGCTTGCGTTTTGTTGCCTGTAAAAGTAGCTGAAGGTAAACTAGGATTAATCCAAGGCAAGAGTTACATGTTGACATTTTAGGATTGAGATTAGCACATTTGGGACTCGCTGCCAATTGTTAAGAACATTCTATTTTTACTAATGTCTTCAGATTTTTAATAAAATTTAATAAATATCAATTGAGCTCAACTTTTTGAAGTCATTTCCTGTAGAGAACTGAAGCATAGCAGGTGGTTCTGCACCTTCAGTCTGCTCAGCAGTCTCAAATTGGTTCTCGGTGTCACAAAAGGACATCCAAGCTTCATTCAGCAAGGTAAATTATAAGTGTTTGTTTCAAACACTACTTATTCATACCAAAAAGCCTAAACCTAAACTGAATTCGTTTAACTACAGATTTTCTTGCTCCAACAATTTCTCCCTGTTGAAACAGAAAAGGTATACAAAAATTTCCTTAGGCATGGTTATAGTAATAATCCCAGCCTCCAGGAAGCTGAGGTCAGAGATAGATAATTTGGTCTGTAAAGTAGTAGGGACCTTTTTGACTCTTAAAAAAACCCCTATAAGTAGTAAGGGGAAAATCTGATCATTCAACAAGTGATTATTATTTCCTGGGAGACTGGGCTATCTACTACTTTGTCCTCACCAGCACTGGCGGCAGCTGCTACTGAGAAAGGCAGGACTGCTGTGCATGTCATGACTTTATGGTTAGGGTCTTCACACACACAAGAAAGCTGAGCTAGGGCCCAGGAACTACAAAAGCTACAAAACAGAACATGGACAACATGGACCTGTTCTCCTCAGAACACTTAAAAGATCCTTACAAAAACCAACTGCATTAGTCCATCTGACTCTTGTTATTTAACTAAGCATGGTGACAGGAAGCCCGACGAGAGGTGGTTTCCTCTTCAGCTTAGGACCTTTTCCCTTAGGACCAAAAAGCAGGCCCAGCTTCCCTGTGAAAAGGCAAACAAATCTCGTGGATCAACTGTGGACTGTCCTGTGTTCTCAGGCTATTAGAGTCTAGCATGCCTACATTTTTTAACGACTTAAGTTGTTTCTCAAGCTTCACTACCTTTTTTTAAAGTGTTACATGAATGTAATGTTTTGCTGTTCTTTGGAATGCACAAGTGTCAGAAGACTTCTGAGCTATGCTCAAGCCAAGAACATGCCATCACTGCCTCTACTGCAAGGTACCAGTTTATGTACTTCCCTTAGATACACTCGGCACACACCCAAGAAGTTCAGACAAAAGTTTTCTCTTTCATATATTTACACAAGTTCAAAATGATATTCACAGCATCTTCTAAATTTTGGCCAAGAGTCAAAAAAAAAATGCATTTAAACTTTGGAACTTGCCCACATAGACAAGAGGCCAACCCCAGCATTTGATGGGGCAGACACCCGAGAACCAAAGGGCTGGGAAAGTCAGGAGGAGCTGAAAGGATTCTTCAGTTTATGAACTTGGTTCAGTGGAACCAAGGTCGAGGATGCCTCTGGCAAGGGATATACAGTTCATCTAACTGGCACCAGTCCCTTCCATCACTTGCTGAGCCTGTTTCTGTCCCATGCAGCACTGTGCAACAGACTGGAATAACCTGGAAAGTGAAGACAAGTACAAATTTAGGCCTAAGGATAGCTTAATGTGCATCAGCTATTAACTGCCTTTTATCTCATAGACCCAAATTAGAAGCTTTTTTTCCCCCTTCTGTTTCCCTGCTAGGTACTTAAATAATTTTAAACTCACTTTTCAATCTCTGGGGCACAGTGTACAAACTCGTGGTTCCAAAACTTAAATGCTGGGTTTTTAATCAGCTCAATGAAGGTGATAAGAAGACCCCAAGGATGCGGCCTATTTACAATCAACCGTTCCAAGAGAACCCTAAAAGGGGGATAGAAGGGTTAATACATAAACAAATTAACTATACCTCCATTTCTTCTTTCTCTATTAATTCACTTAGAATTTTTTAACAATACTATAGCATAAGAGAATTTTTTAAAACAATATTATAGCATATGTAAATGGGTGGAATTCTTTCTATGTGGCTACAAGTGCTGGCTTACACATTACACTGTGACCTGCTACTTGCAATGCTTGCTTTATTCTCACTTCATTGTTTCCTGGGGGCAAAGATTAAGGACTGAAGCCTTTGCTGCAGCTTTAGACATAATTACAAACAAAATGGTGTGTTGTCATCCATGCAATAAACACAGTTCAGATGCATGAGTCCTAGCATTTAGTCAGGTGAATTAAAGTTGGGTTTTGTTTGTTGAGACAGGGTTTCTCTGTGTAGCCCTGGCTGTTCTTTCTGAAACCAGACTGGCCTTGAACTCAGAGGTCCACCTGCCTCTGCCTCTGCCTCTGCCTCCCTAGTGCTGGGTTTAAAGGCGTGCATCATTACACCCATCATAAATAAGTCTTTAAGGTACCTCACTGTACCAATTTCCAATCCTATACATATTTAAACAACAGAAAACAGTATGATCCTACTGCAGCTCTACCTTAAAAAAGGAAATACATACAAAGGAAGTCTGTATTATTCAAGAATCTGTATACAAATGCTACTGCCACTGGATACATACTTGCCACCAAGTATGTTGCTGTTATTGTAAACTAGTCCCTAGCACCCCAAAGCAAACTGTCAATAGCAACTTCTTTTGTAATTCTCCAGACATGCTTTAGTGTAAGACAGCTGAACTGGGAATGTTTAGAGCTCCATTCAGGGCCCTTTTAAGGCATCTTGACAATAAATCTCACCTTGTGATCTGTTCCTGAATTGCCTCGGTGTTTGCCTCGGCGAAAAGGTACAGCATGGTGCAGCTGAAGTAGTGAGTGTGGCTGTTTGGGTACCGCAGCTGGTTTGCAATTGCATTTAAGAAGAGATATCGGCCTAAAAAATTAAGGAATTTTGATTTAGGTTCACTCTTGAAAGGCTAATACGGGAGACAATTGCTTCTGTTTCTGAAGGGGACTGATAAAAGAATTAGCATGGCCCTTGTGCAAGGATGACATCAGAATCTGTAAAGGGTATTCTAATTCAGTGATTTCCTAGTGGTTCTCTGGATCCCACCGTTTTTTTGCTTCTGTAGGGTTCATCAAAAATACTTTCCATGTTATGAATTAGCAAAATTCTTACATATTTGTTTTTGAAACCATCTCACTATCCAACCAGCTGAAACAGTCTATTTCATCTAGCACTTGGAAAACTGCTTTGTAGACTTGAAATAGGCACAATGAAGGAAATGTCTTCTTATGATGAAAACAGCCCGGACCTCAATGTCTTTATCTTTAGAGTCTTGCCCCTAAAGATCCTTATACTGGTAGAATAACAGAGGATGGGGGTATCAAATCCAGAATATTTCACATGTCCAGAGAGCAATCGATCTCTTATCATCTGGATTTGATTGTCTTGTTTGTACAGCTATCACAAGGACCCTTAAACACTTACCTAAAGAATGTAACAATGTTCAATTGTTAAACTTTGCTTTTACATTCAAGTACCTTTTGAAAATAGGTAAGCAATACCAATCTATATATCAAATATAGTTAGTTATCCTTTCAAAGTAACAGCCCTAAAGTACACAATGAGTGCTAATATGGCGAATTCTCAAAAAGCTAAAGATATATCTGTCACATGACTCAACTACACGCACAACTCCTTTGCATATGCCCCAAGAACACATTCTATTCCACAGACACTGGCTCAGCCATGTCCACTGCTGCTCTATTCATAATAACTAAGAAATGGAAACAACCTAAATGTTCTTCAACCAGTGAATGAGTAATAAAAATGTACATTTACACTATGGGCCACTTATTCAGGCTGATAATACTCCCAAGAGCCAAAAGAAAAAAAAAGTCATGAACTCTGCAGGTAAATTGATGAACTAGAAATGATCTAAGTTGAGCAACGACAAATATCTCATGTTCTTCTCCTTTTCCCCCCTCCCTCTCTCTCCAGGCTCTTAGCTCCACATCTTCAGAAATAAGTACATATCCTGGAGTAACTGTAAAAAGCAGAAAAATAAAAAGGACCCCTGCTGGGGATAGGAATGGGGGGGGGAGAAAAGTACAATACAGGGAAAATGAGAAAAGGGGAGAGAATAAAGTAGGGATGTCTGGAAAAGTCATAAGGAATCACACTATTAACTGTTTCTTTAAGGGGGGGGGGGAACCTAAAATAAGAGTCCTGACTTAGCCACAGAAGAAGCAAGATATGTCTGCCTTGCTGAATAAGGTACTGAGCCACATGGCTAGCACAGACAAGAATAATGGGCTAGCATAAGTTATAAGAGTTAATAAGAACCTGAGCTAATGGGCCAATCAGTTTATAACTAATGTAGACTCCATGTGATTTCTTTGGGACTTAACGACTGCAGGATCAGACAGGACAGAAAACTCAGTCAACAAATAAATGGTGCCCACAAGGACAACTGCATCCACATAAAGATAAAAAATAATAGCGTTAAGTGCAACTTATTTATAGCAAAATTTACTCAGGTGGGCTCTGTTTGCTAGAGGCAAAATGTGACTCATGTAAGTATGGCCTAAAGAAATTTTCTAGATTCTTGCAATTTTTTTTTTTTTTTTTTTTTGGTTTTTCGAGACAGGGTTTCTCTGTGGTTTTGGAGCCTGTCCTGAAACTAGCTCTTGTAGACCAGGCTGGTCTCGAACTCACAGAGATCCGCCTGCCTCTACCTCCCGAGTGCTGGGATTAAAGGCATGCGCCACCACCGCCCGGCTAATTCTTGCAATTTTTATCTGTGGCAAAGTATGGAGAATTTGGCGATGCAAACTGGCCAGCTTCACTCACCCTCGGTGTCTAAGTCCACAGCCAGATTCTGGAAGATGTCCATGTGTGCTGAGTGGGTGATGGTGCTCATTGAAGGCGTGCTGCCCTTGTTGTGGATGTGTGCGATGGCCTGAGTCCCTACATAGAGCACCAGTGCATTGATAAGCTGGAGGTTGTAGCGATTGCCAGGCTCGTTAGATACCTAAAGGGGCAAAAGAGAACACTTTACCAAAGAACTAACTGACTAGCACTACTATTTCTTTTATTTATTTATTTTTTCCAGAGACAGGATCTCATAACGTAGCTCTGGCTGGGTTCCAACTAAGAGCTCCACCTGCCTCTGGTTCCCAGTGCTGAGAGTCAAGTGTGCACTACTATGCCCCACAGCA